GAGGGCTTTTCTGTATTCTGTCACAGGGGCTCCAGGCCATTCCTGCATCTTTGTAGTAAACCCCCCTGATTTACCGCACCTGAGCTGGCTTGAGGAAGGCTCTGTTTTCACACAAGCAAAAGAATCCTGCCCAGAACAGCCTTCCTCTTCCCTTTGTTCATCCCAAATCCCAGCTAAACAGAACTTGACTCTCAGCCTTGAACTTTCTTTCCATGCTCCTCTCTTTACCAAAAAACAGCGCCATCCGCCTCACCCCTCCATCTAGCCGTCACTTTCCGGGGCCCTCATTCTATACCACACCTCTCCAAAACCTTCCCCACTTGGCCGAAGAAACTTCCTGCTCCACCCAAATCCCACCACCTCCCGCTGGGGCCGCTCCTGTAGAAAGACCTGCCCAGGCTGCATCCGTGAACAGTCCCAGCCCCTGGGCAAAGTCCTCATCTTCTCGGAGCTGTTTCCTGGTGTCTAGAAGGGAGACACCGCTGCCGGTGTGGCCTCTTGCCCAAAATTAACCGTGAAGCACAACCCAGAATGACTCTGAAAACTTCAAAGCGTTTTCCAAACATAGGAGCTCTTTCCCAAGAAGCTCCAAAGAATGTAAAGGAATGTGAAGATGAACATGTAAGCCCTTTGTTTGACATCATTCTGTCTCCTTTACAATCCTCTGGGAACTCTGAAGAACAGGAAATTCCAAGGGGCCCCACAAACCAGCCACACAAGACAGGCTCTGGAGGTACCTGGCGGCGGGACCTTTGTTTCAAGGCAGCAGAGGCAGCATCTCTGTTCTCAGAGAGCCCTGAGACTCTTTGTCCCTGAAGCATTCAGTTCTAGGACTTGGAACACACAGTCTCTCCAAGTCTGATCATAAATCTGCCTTTTAAATGTTCTGTGGTCCATAATAAATAATTTACATAAAGGGCCGGTTGGATGGAGCACAGCAGGATACAAGAGGGGAAAAACAAAATGCAGTAGGCCAGATTTAATTTGAACAGCCAAAGTGCTCAGAGAAATCATTAGACCACACTGAAAGGAACAGAGTCGTCTTTACAGAATTCCCCTCACCCTCTGCTGAAAATCATGATGGAGAGGGGCTGTGAATTATGGCACCTTCAGCTTAATTTTACATGACACAGATACAGATGATTTTATTTTTCCCATTTGTGAGAAATAATGAAATCTCCTTTCCCTCCTTCCATCCATGTTCTCTATCCAAAAGTTCTGCTAATTTAAAACATTCAGTGGAAAAATAATACTGGGCCATTGTTCTTAAGAAAAAAAAATTTAATCACTTTGAATTTAATTCTAATAGGCAGAGAATATGAGCTTATCCTGTATGATGGTACAATGACAAAATGAGTTAATTACCATCTCATCGTAAGACGGATCTGCTTGTCACAGGAACAGGAGCCATTATTTCACACAAAATAATGACCCAGATAAAAAGTAATGACTGTAAGCTGTAGCCGCCAGTGACACAGCTTCATCTTGGCCTAAGTGAATGGCAATTAACAAGTGTCACCACTCTCTCTATATACAAATAGAGACCAGGCTATTCATTAAATATTTACTGAAAAGACACAAATGGTTTTTAGTGTATTTCTTCCCAGGAAGCTCCCATGGTCTTCTACCTGTGCGATGACAGAAAAATTTACACATGTGTAAAATTCTGCCATCAGCTGGAAAAGCTGTTGATCCTACAGAGGGGTATTCAGTTCCCCTCTGCTCTTCACACACAGAAGTGGTGTTTTCTCCAGACATCTTGTCCGACAACAGAAAAAAGGAACAGAGGGAAGGAGGCCCAGACCCATTGTTTTGTCCCTCTTCTCCCGGGTGTCACAGCCATTGGCCTAGAAACTACAGCCACAACCAGCACCAATGACCAGAAATGCTGGATCCTTCCAGGTCCAGCTCTCGGCTACACTGGACGGCGAGGGACAAATGGCAGGATCTCAACACCCCTGGGTTGTTGGCAGAAACTGTACCTCCACCTGCTGACCATGACCATAAACCACCTCTCTAGAGACGAGCAGAGGTGAGAGATTCTGGGATACACATGAGGAATCTTAGTACTACCCTAGTGTGCAAGTTATCTAGTCTGTCTGGACCCAATGGTTTTTGTTTGAAAACCAGGGGTATGGCAGGAGCAGGATGGCATGGTGGGCTTTTTAAAGTATATAATATTCAAAATGTTAAAAACATAATTCTTATATTAACATAGAATAAGCAGGTGTCAATGATTTACTATGAAACGAACCATCAGATACTGATACGCATGCATGCATGTACACACACACACACACACAGATAGACAGATGTCTACCTACACTCCAAACACTACACACACCAGTATCTGAGAGCCCACTAATCAGGCTGCTGTCTCCTTAAGACCTGATATTGGCACAATGTAACAGTCATGCAATGATCTGGCTTGGTTAAGACAAAAGTCCCAAATCATATGTTTTTTCATTATTTTTTAAAAATTTTTTAATGTTTATTTTTGAGAGAGAGAGAGAGAGAAAGAAAGAGAGAGACAGGGTACAAGCGGGGGAGGGACAGAGAGAGAGGGAGACAGAATTGAAAGCAGGCTCCAGGCTCTGAGCTGTCAGCACACAGCCCGATGCAGGGCTTGAACTCACGGATCATGAGATCATGACCTTGGCAGAAGTCAGATGTTTAACTGACTGAGCCACTCAGGCACCCCCCCAAATCATATGTTTTTAAAAGAGCAAATGTGAAAGTATGGACAGAGACTCACGTCCTCATCTTACCCAATTACCTACAAACATTCCAAGTATCCGAGTCTTGATTACAAGCCTATTTCTAGAACAGTTTTTCCCCAGTACTCAGATCATGGGGTAAGTTCCACCTCTAGCGTGTCCCTACTCAAGTTTATTAGAACATTTTGTCTGCATCGATCCAGGAAAGAGGGCCCTATGTGTACAGGCATCTACATAAGTTACACAAAAACTCATGTTGTCAGGCTTATGCACATGCAAACAAAAATTGCCTTTCTCCCCATTTCTTTTTTTTTTTTTTCCTG